TCCTCCTCGATAATATTGTAGCGGTGCTTAGGCAAAGCCCTGCGATGGTAGAACATCAAGATCGTCACCACACCGTCGTGCTGACGGAACTCTCCCTCGACACTCGGCTGGATCGGAGTTCGAGGGACGTCATCGAGCTGAACGTGTGCTAGAACTCGGAGGTGCCGTAGTTTCGGTGCTTGATCGGTCGGGCCGTGAAGACGTACGACTACATCAACCGTGTTGTTCTAATGCTTCCGCTTTCGGTCTACAAGGGTATGTAGATTACACTCTCCCCTCTCGTTGCTATGCATCACCATGATCTTGCGTTTGCGTAGATTTTTTTTTGAAATTACTACGTTCCCCAACACTATTCATGATGGTTAAAGCATACCAGAGGCTTGTCGTACTTTGAACTGGCTACGAGTGGATCTTCCTCATAATTGGCACACATGAAAAACTTCATGCCTAACCAATCTGAAAAATCCGTCACCTCCTTCACCTTGCAAAGATTGCCACACCAACACCGCAGGGCTGCCACCCCCGGAGCCAAACTTGCATTCTTCATTTTCCTCGGCCTAATACTTTGATCTGAGCAAGACAAACTCATACCGACTGAAAAAAAGCATGACACACTTCCGCAGTGACGATTTCAAGGGTGGCTAGACGACGGATGACAAGAGCCTCAGTGCCCCGTTTTATAGGCTCGGACGACAAATGATGGCAAGAAAATAGGCGCGAACAGACGGAATTTTAGGCTGGAAATACGCGTGATCCAAAACACTGCAACCAGTGTCGGCATAGCCTACCTCGGTGCTGTCACGTTGGCCACAACAATAGATGAATTAAACTTTAGGCGGGAATCACGCACTGCTTTTAATCCGTGTCGTCCGCATAGAAAGCAGTGGCACTTATCAGACAGCGAGCAGCACCACAGCGGAATCAGTGCCAGAAACGATTCCCGCCGAATGGCATGCGAACCAGACAGAGAGAGTGGAGGCAACCAATATAAAGAGGAGCACCACAGAGTATCAGCACAAGGCGTCCAAATTCACCTACTGCACAACAATGGATTCCCGCGCGTGGGAATCTGTCTCGTCGGCTCAGCAATCAGCGCCGTCTGCCACAACGCTGCCGTCGGCTGGCAAGCAGCAGCTACAGGGCTGCCGCCAGCTTGCAAGGCGGCAGGGCCCACAGTGCCAGATGCGGCGGCCTGCCCGTGTGGAGGCAGGTCCCACCTCGCCAGCCCATTCAGTCCCACCTAGCCCGCGGTTGCGGATTCCGGTTATTCACGGGGGGCTGCCTCGTGCGGTGGCGGTAGGGCTGGCCGCCTCGCACCATGGTGGCAGGTGCCACGTGTCGTCCGGCGCGCCTGCCGCCACGGCGAGGGGGGGTGTCTTTTCTGTCATTTTGTCTCCGGGGTGGTCCTTTTTGGCAATAGCATTCGGCAGGTGGTCCTTTTGGACAAAAATTCGAACAACAACAAGAAGAAGAGCGATACTAGTACATGGTGGCGACTTTGCCTTTTGAATTTTTGTATGGTGAGACCCTATACAAATATTAGCATTTTCGAAATTTTATTGCCCCAAAAATTGGAATTATCTATAAAAAGCTACATCAATTGTTCCGAGAGCATCTATTTTCACACTGAAAATTGTACGTGGCAGCTACACCTTCTTTGCTGCGGATATAGACATAAACAAATGCAGTACTGTGCACGAAACATACATGGCAAATATTGAACATCGGTCGAACCACGAAAAACAGCGTGCGGAGAGGTCGAACAGCGCATGCATGCATGCACGAACGGTCGCTGGCCTGAGAATCACATGACGGTGCACGCACTGGGCGGGTACTCCTCGTAGATGAACCTCCCCTCCTGCACGATCCGGCAGCCCTTGCACCCTCTGCACGACGACGCCGGCCCGCCGCAGCCCATCGGGGGAGGCTGCATCATCTGCAGCGGCGTCGGCATCGGCGGCGGCCACGCCCCGTACCCGCCGCCGCCGCCGCACGAGCCGCACCCTCCTCCGCAGTAGGCCGGGCCTCCGCACGGCTGCCTCTTCGGGGTCGCCGGCGCCGCCCAGGGCGGGTGCTGAGGAACCGGGTGCTGAGGGTGGTGGGGGGCGGGGTACGCCGGCATCTGCGGCGGCTCGCACGGCCACTGCGGCTGGGGATGCGGGTACTGGTGCACGCCTCCCCAGTGGCTCGGGTCGCTGCACGGCCACGGGTAGCAGAGGTTGCAGATCTGCGTGAACTGCAGGTTCACCGTCGTCGACGGCGCGGCTGGTTTGGGCTCCACCTTGGGCTTCGGCTTCTCCTCCGGCTTCTTATCGTCTGGCTTCTTCTCGTCGGGTTTCTTCTTTTCCTCCGGCTTCTTCTCGTCGGGCTTCTTCTTCTCATCCGGCTTCTTCTCGTCGGGCTTCTTGCAGCAGCACTTGCAGCCATCGGCGGCCGGCTTCTTCTCCTCGGGCTTCTTCTCCTCCGGCTTTTTCTCTTCCGGCTTCTTGGCGTCGGGCTTCTTCTCTTCGACGATCTTGATATCCTTGATCGCCTTGCAGGCCTTGCATCGCAGCTTCTTCGACAGCTTCACCGGGTCAAACGGACCGGAGATGGTCACCGTGTTCTTCTTCGTGTCGAAATTGATGGTCCTGATCTTTTCCTTCTCTGATCCATCAAAGTTAATTGCATCGAAGTCAATAAGCAAAACACAAAATGGATCCACCTCGCATTACAGGGTTAATTTGACAAAATTAAATTGAGTACTTGACTATTGTGCTGCGTACCTTGGAGTTTACATAGCACTTTCTGAATCTTCTTGTAGCATTTCTCGCATTCGAGGTTGGCTTCAATGATCAAAGTAGCTACCTGGTGGATACACGCATGGCAGGAGAATCAACACAAAGAGCTCACAACACCACTAATACACCTGCCAAATTAACCATGCATGTACGCATGCAGACGAAGGTAAGCATATATGTATGCATAAAACAGGGCGCTCACCTTCTCTGCCATGGCTGGAGCTGAGGCGACCTCCAACGAACGTTTAATGGCCGAGTTGCCACAAAAGGAAGAGGGAATATATATAGGGGATTCTAAGAAATATATTACGGCACGAACTTTCATTGTTGCAGTGCAGCATCACACTTGTGGTCATCTTGATGAGATGACGTGGCAGTGGTTACGTTCCACCGTCGCCATGACTCGTCACACACCGAAATCCATGCCATCATCTAATGAAATAACACATTTTTTTTAGCTAGGCATAATCGAATAGGAGCACTACATCTGCCCACCCACCGTATATTGCACTCCAAGAAAGAACAAAAGTATAATTGCATGCAAGGCGCCGGCATAGCCGGTGAAGGAGGAGGAATATGGCATCACATGAGCGTGATGAAGACCTAATCAGTAGTTTAAGCGTAAGATTCGGGGCAACAACCTTTCCCCGCCATGATCATCACGGAGCATGAGCTAGCCTGAACATGGGACAAATAAGTCGCCGTAGTTGGTCCGGACACTGCTGGCACTACGCCGGGGCATGTTGCCAAAACGCCACGAGACGAACCTTCTCACGACCCATTTCCCGTACCGGGGTGCATAGAAAACGCGCATGTCGGCCGCACCGAGCCGTCGTCACGTACGTACATGGAAGATGGAGCTCGATGACGATTTGGGGCCGTTTTGACGCGATCTGTTCAGGTATATCCTTCAGAGTTTCGGTGATGGGTGAGCTGCAACAACCCATCGATCGGCCAACCTCATGTCGAAATGAAAATGATCACGTAGATGGCTAGGCTGCGTACACATGGATGCCAACAATGGTCAACGACGACAGCTACGTCGAAAGGATCAGCTGGCTGGCATGTACGATTGGATCGTCGGCAGCCACCGATATGGTTGGGTGGGCGGCAAGGTGCTGCAAACCGGGGGAGAGCATGTCGTGGAGAATCTTTCTTGTGACCTGGGTTGTTTGCTATACTGATTAACGTGCATTTGCCATGAGACCAGCCCCAAGCGCTGTTCCGGGGCGTGGGGGCAGATGGGTTCGAGCCGGGCGGTGACGGCGAACGATGGTGGACTGGCCGCGGCAGCTCGCCGGATTTGGCTACGGCGAGGTGACGGAGTGGGCGGAGGCGCAGCGGAGGTGGCGGAGGGGCGGTGTCATCGCAGAATAAAACGACCGGCCGGATATGTTTTATGTTTGTAACAAATGGCATGTTGCAATTGCAACAAGCCAATCGTTGCAAAAGGGTGTTTCAGCCTCGCAAAATAATAATAAAAAACTTGCGACTTTTTTTTGCGACAAGACTTATGTTGCAGCTGTAACATGACATTGTATAATTTTTCTGTAACAAGACATTTGTTGGACCTTTGTTGCAGAAAATACTGCAACAACGCGTTTGCTGCAAAGGGGGGCTGCTCACGGGGGCACACTGGATGGTCATTGTCGGGTCCATCCAATGGTCAGCCAGGTGGAGAATATTCCTCGGTTATCCACCGAAGGACACACATAACTTGGCCCGAACAACCTCTATGAGAGACTATAAAGGGACCATGCCCTCAACACATATAAAATTAAGATGATTCTTATTTCAACCATAAATTGCGACTTCTGCATCGCTTGTCAGGTTATAACATTGATTATACTTGTCTTGCGTACAATGGGTGTAAACACTCAAAATTGTGCATCAATGATATTCGGATTATCTAAAGTATTTGCTTCTACAAAAGTTATGTATACCATTTAAAACCAAGTTTAATCCCTGCCAACATCGCCCATTCAGTTAAATCCTGTGTACCATTTAAAACCAAGTCTAATGAACAAGGTTATCTACATGTATCAAGATTTTGTGCCAAGCACCACAGGTTATTCATGCACAAGTTGAGCACATAAGAAGTAAGACCACCAGAAAAAGATAAAGATATATATCAACAAAATAAGTAGAGAGCAACAATACTACGAGTAAAAAATACCACAAACCAATACAAGACAAGTTCATAATTTTGCCAATAATTATTTAAGGGCTGCACCGGCTCCTGGACCCCCCAAACTGCACTTGGCACCTGAACAAAGCTAGAGAGATACAAATGTGTCAATATAATGAATCACTTTGAAAAGTAAATGTATAAAAGACACTTCATTTATATATTTTTCTACGAGAAAAACTTTCGATCTATTCATCAATTGTCAAGCCAGTACAAAGAACACTAGAAGTAAAAATGACGTCCAGATCCGTAGACCACCTAACAACGACAAAAATCACTAGAGCGAGCTGAAGGCGCGCCGCCGTCATCGCCCCTCCATCACCGGAGCTGGGCAAACCTTGTTGTAACAGACAATCGGAAAGTCATCGAGCTAAGACCCAATATGACCTGGACGCCAGAACAACAACCATCGTCGATGAAAAAAAAACATTGATCGAAAGGATCCAACCTGGAAAAAAAACACGAACACATACGAAGTCCGGTTCCAAGTGGATCTAACAAAGACAAAGCTGAGCGAATCCCACGATCTGTCGGAGACAAATCTCCACACGCCCACTAATGACGCTAGATGCACCGCCAGAACTGGGGCTAGACGGGGAGAATCTTATTCCAACTTCAGGGAGCCATTGCCGTCTCTTCTTTCTCACTAGTAGAAAAAGGCTCATTTGTCCCGGTTCCGGAACCAGGACTAAAGGGTCGGTACTAAAGGCCCCCCTTTTAGTCCCGGTTGTGTTACGAACCGAGACTAAAGGCCCTCCACGTGGCCGCTGTCTGGAGCTCGACCTTACCAGCCGGGACTAAAGGAATTTTTTCTTAATTATTTGTATTTAATCTCTAATCACCGCACATCACTGTTCAATTTAATCTCTAATCTTTAATCACCCCTCTTCATTCCAAATCATCTACCTTCCCGGTCGGTCACCCATCCTTTCACTACTTCAGCCTGAGCACGCTTAACTTTCAAGTTCTATTCATCCTAGTTTCCAAGTGTGCACTTGTTATTTTTCTGACAATACTAAGCTGTCAATCCTATTAACTCTTAGGAGTTGAACTTGAGCATTAAGCATCGTTTGAGTTTGAAACTATTATTCTAAAAAACAACAATTATTTAGTAACACTAATATTTCTTAAATAAGTAGTTTGACCATAGTTTGACCCGGTTTGACCATAGTTTGACCACAGTTTGACCAAAAGTCAAAAAACTAAAAATAATTATTTGTTAACACTAATATTTCTTGAATAAGTAGTTTGACCATAGTTTGACCAGATTTAACAAAAAGTCAAAAAAACTGAAATTTGAGCATATCTTTTTTTCCTTTTAGAATTTGAGAATTCTAAAAATTTGCAAATAGGCCTACGGTGGTCCAAATCGGATGCGGATTTTTGAGCTGATTTTTTTGATATATTATGCGGGTTTTTTCGACATCGTATGCAAAAGACATGGCCGTTTTACTTTTTCTTAACACTTTTTTTCAAAACATGTCCAAATTTAAGTTTTTTAATTTTCCTAACTAATAGATGTAGTAACATAACTACATTTCGAAGGATTTTAATTTTTGAATTTTTTATCATTCTTTTGCTTTTTACAAAACTGAAAAGGCGATCGGGGCGGGGGGAGGGGGGGAGGGGTAGAGTTTGAAAATGGAACCTTTAGTCCCGGTTTGAGACACGAACCGGGACTAAAGGGCACCGCACCCTTTAGTCCCGGTTCGTGTCTCAAACAGGGACTAAAGGTCCTATTTGAACTGGGACTAATGCCTTCCCGGCGCCTTAGCCGCTTGAACCGGGACTAATGCTCACATTAATCCTGGTTCGTGATGCAACCATGACTAATGTGTACAGGGAGCTGTGACCAAAACCCTGTTTTCTACTAGTGTCTGAACTGGACACAAACCCTAGACGAACACATAAAAGCAACTAAAAACAAAGTAGGAGCCCTCCCACCGGTAAGAGTCGAGATCCACCACGCACTCATGGCGTAAGGTGGCGAAGCCGATCTACGACGGCGACGACGGGAGGCGCAGATTCCTAATCGCCCTTGCGCGAGCGCACGAGGCGAAGGGCCAGGAGACGTACGTGTTTTAGCCCCTAGCTTTCCACTATATCCGGTGAAAGACACTTCTTTTAAGTGATATACAAAAGAAAAGCAATGGACAACTACTGTTAGAACAAAGAAATAAACTTTGGTTTAATTATCTGCTTGTTGGCAATCTTTTCATCATTATAGAATCTTGAAACAAGATAAATGCATTTTTTGAAACTTTGATCTTGTAAGTTTCCGTGGCAGTTAGCATATTTAAAATGCGTCTGTCTGACATAGGGTCATGGGTTGCTATGGAGGGTTCAAAACAGGTCAAATTTTGAGACTTTGTGCAGGATTTTTTTCAGGAAGTAACGAATGTAGTAGGAACAAAGGATTCTACCAGAACTTATCATAGTCTAGTAGCCGATACTCACCAAATAGTAATGAGCATATAAGCAGCTCGAGCAAACAAATGACTGTTATGCCCTACCATTTTCATAACAAAATTTAGTAATGGTTGTGTGCAACAAAGTTCACCATAAACAACAATAGAAGACGTTCATAAGTTTTGCCAAGTAATTATTTAAGGGCTGCACTAGCTCATGGACCACACAAAGCTGCACTTGGCACCCGAACATTCCATGAGAAGCACCATAAAGCAACGATACTTCCAGTACAACAGAGTTTATCATTATTAAGGACAGTATAACCGCACCTAATCTTAACCCTCTCAGACCGTCAGCAACCACAGCCATTCGTTTTCACGATACATCAATTTCTGGCCGTCTGATCATCATTAGCGTGCTGTCTCCCTCGTTTTCCAGCAAGTGGTCCGGCTGTCCTAGGGGACGCTACTCCCGTAGCCAAATTGAAGGGCGCTCGTTGATTGGGCCAGCCGGCTGATTCAGCCTCACCAAGAAGAACCCATCTCAGCGAACAAACGACATCTCCTCGGGCCACACCCACCCACGACCTCTCCTCTCTCTCGATCCGGAACCTTGGTCAGGCGACTTCGGGATGCGGCACGCCAGGATGGAGGCGGTGGCCTGCGCCTCCGGCTCACCCACGAAGCGCGACGCAAGGGCTCCTCCGCCTCCTCTTCCTTCCTCGCCTCCCCACGGGGCGGCGGTGACGGCTGCAAGGACGGCGTGCTGCGCTCGTCCCCTCCGCTCCACCAGACGTACCCACTCCCTGTCCCCATCCGCGCCCCGCTCGCGCTCGAGGACCCCCGGTCGCCGTCAGCATTGGCCTCCTACCGGATCCTTTCCTGCTTGCCATCCTCGCCTGCCTCCTCCTCGGTGCGCTCGTGTCCGCCCCTTGCGTCTGGCCGCACCTCGCGAGTCTTCCTATCGGTCTACATTGCATCTCGTCGGGATCCCTCATGCTTACTAAAATTCGTGGTTCCATTGGACCGTAACGCGCCTGACCTGTGCCGCAAAGATGAGATTCGGCTCCAATGCCCAGGGGTAATGTGATGTTGAGCTCAGCGTGCATATAGGGGAATGTTTGTGCGCGAAATCAGTTTTAACTTGTTTGATTTTTATGGCTTGGTGTTGTCACCGTTCAGGTGAGCAACTCGCTATGGAGAATCCATGTCTTGCAAGCCATGTGCCGAGCGCCGCAGCGATGAGATCTCAGGCAAGTGCTGGCACTGATCCCTCCAGTAGAAATACGATGAAAGATGTTTCATAAATGTGACTGGATCTTCTCAGTGTACTTTTTTTTTTGTTGTGTCTTCATGTATCTTAAATTCTTGATACTACTGCAAAGCCAATATGTTGCCAGGGTAGTTGATAAAATTTTCTTAAGACCATAAGTAAATTGAACAGTTGATCTGCTAGACATATTATATTTTGTAAGAAGATATTCCAAACGTAAGTTGGGTGGCTGGAGAAATAAAACGTGACTGGCTGACTTTGGGATGAGGATAAAATTATTATATCATTTGTAAGAGCACAAGTGGAAAAATAACCCAGAAACAATATACTCTGTCTACATTTCTTCTTTAATGGCTGCACCTTTTACACGAACCTTTAAACCAAAGCCGGATACAGAAGCAATCAAATCTGGCTGGTGATATCATTTTTTCTTTAACAGAAGCCAGGATGCACTGCTGGTGGAGAGAAGTTCAAATGCGGCGGCAGCAACACCTTCACCGGACAAAAAGAAAGCTGGGAGGACAGGAAAAATGCAGAGGGGTACACTGGCGGAGCTACGTGAGGGAAAAAGCTGGCCGTGGCCCGCCCTACCCTCCAGGAAAATCTTATACTACACATGTGCAGTCCAAGATTGTCTAAAGAAAAGAAAGAAAATGTGCAGTCCAACACTGCATCATCACTACTACCTCCGTCCTGGTTTATTAGTCCCCTATGTAATTTGTGCTAAATTTTGATCAAAGATTTAATTGATAAAATGTTGGTGCATGTCTACAAAAATTGTATAGTTGGATTCGTATTTGAACATAGTTTTCAATGATATTATTTTTTGTTACATGCATGGACATTTTATTAGTTAAATTTATGATCAAAATTTAATACAGATTACAATGAGGACCAATAACCCAGGACGAAGGTAGTAGCATACAACGCTGGGTCGCTCGTGTCCTCGGATGCAACACTGCATTTCCTTCGCTTCAGCGCTACTCTGTCAGCTAGGCTACTAACTAGCTAGCTAGCCCTGAACCAGGTCAATCCCAAATGCAGCTAGGGGATTGTATTATCTGGTAAACATCAAATATTATTACTCTAGCTAGCAACCAGCACTGCACAAGCACATGTAATCAGCTAATGCATGTTGAATTAGTGTAGTTCAGAAATATTATTTTTGTATTGCCCTGTAGGATGGCCTGCCCAGTTTTTTCTTCCTAGCTCCGCCAGAAACTACTACTGATGACGCGGAAGGAACCTCTAAAGCTGCTGATAGCAATAGGACGGGCCCTTCCGAATCAGCTGATGGTGCATCACAGTTGCAAGAGTTCTCCCAGGTAAGTGATACTCTCGTGCATGTCTGTGCATGTGTTTTTGGGTTACCTGGGCGATTGGTAAGTTTGGACCTTATTTAATTCGTGCAAGTGTAGGGACACCATTTTCCATGCTGGTTTGTTTTGGTAAGCCTTTTTCATGTATACATGAAATTGCTGGTCTGCCACTTTCTTACATATATCTTTCAGCCTGGTTGCTCTTTTAACGAGACAAGCAAACCAAAATGAACAATATGATTACAACATATCCCCGGTGCTGCTTGTATGGTATTCCCTCCGTCTGAAAATACTTGTCATCAAAATGAATAAAATGAGATGTATCTAGATGTATTTTAGTTTTAGATACATCCCTTTTTGTCCATTTTGATGACAAGTATTTTCGGACGGAGGGAGTAGTATTTAGTATATCATTATTTGATATTGCAACTAATTTAATCCTTGTTAGGACTGTTGTCCTATGAATGTGTGCGCTCCACAACAAATAACCAGGTGCATTTGGCTGCCGTAATTCTTCTTTGTTTCCGAACATGGTGGCTCTTTGATAGAGGCATTTGAAGATTTCATTTATGCACCATGAAAGCAATCTATTTTTACTGCCTATTATCTGTACCGATTAGTTGTATTTACTATCTAAATTGTTGTGTATGCGGTTATACCAAGTATATATATGACAAATATTTCCTACAAGCAGTGGTAGTTATCACCACTTGCGTTTTGTATGTTGTATATATATGACAAATGTTTCCTACAAGCAGTGGTAGTTACCATCACTTGCGTTTTGTATGTTGTATGTAGTATCTGTCGGAACCGAGAGTATGTATGTATAGTATGTAGTATATAATGATGATTAGGTAGTATATATACTAATTTTTAGGTAGTATGTACCATTTTTTGAGTATGCTCATTTTTACGTATAAATATGTACGCATTTTATAAATATAACAAAAACTATGGGCTCATATGCAATTTTTTCATGTAACTTGCTTTGAAATATCTTAGATATAGTATATGAACATATTTAAAATAATAAAATAGTATATATAGTGCCACTTGGTATTGGTAGTATATGAGACATGTGGGGTAACTACCATCGGGTGGTAGGATGGATTTTTCCTCTATATATATATACACACGGCTGCGCTATTCTAAGCAAGCGCGCATTCTTGCTTAGCCTACGCTCCGGCCGGTTAATTAGGCGCCTGGGTCGCGCATAGAAGGCTGCTGTCCACCGCAAAAATGTTGAGAGTAACGTTGTGTGCAAGAAAAAGTAACACCTTTAGTTCTGTTACCATGTGCTGGTCCGTCACATCCTGATTTCTGAGGACACTATTCATTGTCAGAAATAGGGATATTATAGATGGTAATGGACTAAGGTTTTTTTATTGGACAGTGTGATATAGATGGTTTGATCTTGAACATAGTAAAATCTTGCCGAGACATGTAGTAACATATTACTACATTCTCACTAAAAAAATGGAGTGGATGGTAATGAAAAAAATACCAACGAAAAAGTTAAATGTGCTTTGGCATGCAGTAATGAATTACTACATGTGGTAATGCATTATTACGTGTGCTACTTTCGTTGAAAAATGGATTACTACATGTGCATTACTACATTTGGTAATGCATTACTACATGTTGTAATTCCAGGCTGGTACATAGTAATGCATTACTACATATGCTATTTACGTTAAGCAGCTTCGGTCGTAAAAAATTACGGTTGATTTCTTTCCCATGATATGCGTGCCATTAGCGTGTGCGTACTGGCTAGTTGGATCAAACTGGCCGGAGCGCATGATTGGCCTGAATGCGCGCAGGCATAGTTTAGCAAGCCTAGGCGCTAAACTAAGCGAGCGCGCAGAATAGCTAATCCTACGCGCTGGTCAGGCGGGTCGCTCGGCAGGAATAGGCTGCCCCACCACTAATTAACTGAAGGTAAAATCGGTTGAAGAAAATCATAATGGATTTAATTTGGTTACCATCCTACCCACGGTCCCCTACGCCCCGGCTTCTAAACTCACTAATTAATGGTAGTAAAAAAGATAGAATAGATAGTAATGGATGGAATACTTTACCAAGCAATTTATTACTGGTGGTCCGATCCATTGACTAGTTAAAAAAAGGATTTACTACATGTGCGATAAAAAGAAGATTTACTACATGTGCTTTGCTCACTAATTATTGGTAGTAAAAGGATGCAGTAGATGGTAATGAAAGAAAATGTTTTACTAAGCCAAAAAATAGTGATGGTTCAATCCGTCACCCGGTAAACCTAGTAAAAACATGCTGAAATCTAGTAATAAATTAGTACATGTGAGAACTCTAATGGCCATGGTTGTTAAAAATTGTAAAATAAAGTGAACACGTGGTAATGTTAAAAATCATGTGGCTTATAGTCAATGCATGGAAAAGTAAGCATATGTTAGTGGTTCCCCAATTAATTGGTTTATACTCTCTCCGTCCGAAAATACTTGTCATCAAAATGAACAAAAGGGGATGTATCTAGACATATTTTAGTTTTAAAGACGTCCTTTTTTATCCATTTTGATGACAAGTATTTTCGAACGGAGGAGTATTATATTGGTAATGCAATTACCATCTACTAGTATAGTGCTCGCGGCCCTAATTGTAGTAAGACTGTGTACTTTACAGTAATTTTTAATGTAGGAGACGTTCGACCAAGTAATGCGAGCATTTGGTTATACAGTAATATTTATGGCAATCTAGTAATCGTTACTATGGCAACTCCGTTAGCCTGGTCATAATGGGGGAATAACTTAGACTAGTAACATGCATATGTTACTAGTCTATGTTACTACCTCTATGGTGCATAGTATCATAGATTAGTATTATATGTGGTCTCATTTATTGCCATGCATGACATATAGTAGCATCACATTTATTATGTTACGGTATCTACTTATGTTATTATAACCATCTCTCTTCTTTAATTGCCTGCCACATAAGCATGTTTGCGAGTCCCAAGTGCATGATACTACTTATGTTACCACCACTATGGCCAGCCTTACTGCATTGCTGCATTGCATGAATGTATTACTATGTAAATGTTTTGAAATCATGGATAGCTAAATTAATCATCCGACAATAGAGATGGTAATCCATTACTACATTCCATTAGAATTTTACGAGGAATTTTTCTGTAGCCAGATTTATCGTCCCATGGAGTGGAGATATATATATAAAAGATTTCTTTGGGCTACCAACTAATGTGTGGTTATGTTTAGGCAAGCTTAATTATTTCATATGGCCATATATTTATCAAAATTCCTACCATATCATTGTACAAATAGACAGGCGCAGCAATGCACGCCATCAATGATCTAGTAAACCATAATATAAGACGAGTTCATAATTTTGCCAATTAGCTATTTATTTAAGGTCTGCACTGCCCCCCAAAGCGGCACTTGGGACCTGATCAAAGGTAGATAGATACACATGTGTCAATCTAATGAATCATTTCAAAAAGTGTATGAAAGACACTTTTTTAGGTGATACGGTAGTAAAGAAAAGCAATGAACAGCTATTGCTAGACCGGATAAATAAACTCAGTTTAGTGGTCTGCTTGTTGCCAGTATTTTCACAATGACAAAACCTAAAAAATAACACAACTACTCCCTCTGTCTCATAATGTAAGACGTTTTTTGACTTTACTGTAGTGTCAAAAAACGTCTTATACTATGGGACGGAGGGAGTATTTAATATTTATTTTTTGAAAATTTGGTCTGCCATGCTTGTGAATCTCTGTGGCAGTTAGCATATTAAAAATGTCTCTGTTTTACACGGGGTGCTACGGAGGGTTTAAAACAGGCCAAATTTTGAGTCTATGTGCAGGTTTATCATGAAGTAATGAAGGTAGTAGGAGCAAAGGATATGGATTGGTAGCTAACTAATTGCATCTTCTCTCTGCCAAAACCATATGTGCAATGTATGGTTTCTAATGATTACAGCAGAACTTGATATTTTCAGCATAGTCTTGTTGGCGATGCTTAGCCAAATAGTATTGGGGATCTAAGCAGCTCGACCACACAAATAACTTCTATGCCCTACACTTTTCATGAAAGAATTTTGTGATGGTTGTGTGCAGAATGCAAGCTAAGAAGACTGACTGAACATAACAGGTTGATGGTGGCACAAGAACTGTCTTTATACCCTAAAAAACCAAAACTGTCTGCCAAGTTCACTACACATAAGAGCGGAAGACATACATGCAAATACAAGAAATATAGCTTTTATTAAAACTAGATGAGTTCATATAATAACGAAGTAATGCACAGTAGCGCTGGTAGAGCTTGGATTATTTTTCTTACCACGAGGAGGAAACAGCCGAGCAATCTCTGCCTTAGTCATATCTGCAAATGGGCCCAGTTGAGACACTTGCGACGATCCAGAATTGTTATCTTTGTACACAGCCATTGCACAAGCCCTAAATGACCTGAACCGGTGGGTCATTTCTTTATGGTCACGGGATACCTCATGATACTCGCACCAGCGTCTATACAAGGCCCACAGGGATTCCTTGGACTTAATGGAATTCTCATCAACCAGGGGAAAGGTTTCTGGATCCATGTCCGGCACGAAGTCACTGAGTCTGAGATTTTCTTCTAACTCAGAACCGTCTGCCGATCAGTAGCACAGAGTTTAAATTTGATTGTAAAATAACATCATTTGTAATAATGCTCTCAACGGAATTAATTTGATTGAAGGCAGAGACAATTTTTTATTTTTGCGAATGAATGCAGAGACATTAAGACATCATGAATCATCATAAACCAGTTTTTTAACCACTTAGTTTTACTAAGAAAAATATGCTTGCCAGATGTCCGAATGAATAGGGGCCAATCTCTGCCTGCTTATTCAAATAGATCTACTGACAATAAGAAATAATATGGGAATTTTGGGTATTAAATTCAGATCCAACTATCCAAGTAAGGCGAATTCCTTTTCATACCCAAAGCCCGAGAATCCTTAGTATTCAGATACAAATTCAAGTAAGGAAAATTCCTTTGGCATTCGGGATTCAGATCCAAATTCGGAAAGAGCTAACAAAATAACATGGGAATTTCAGGTACAAAATTCAGATCCAAGTAAGAAGAATTCCTTTGAGAATTTTGGCATTCAGGACTTGGATCCAAATAACGAAAGAGGTGTCTCGGATTACCTGCAGCTGCAGACATGCGACGGATGGTACCGCCAGTCAGATAGAGCCGGGGGAGACACGGGGAGATGCCGCCAGCAATATCTCCAACGGGGCGTGATGCTAGGGCTGCCCGAACGAGCTTGGACACGATGAAAGCCATGGCCAGGGTACGTGAGGAGGCAGCAGTGCAGAGAACCTCCTTCTCACGATTAAACCCTGTTCGTTGCGGAGATCGCGGAAAAGCACACAATCAGGAGCAGGTTCGTTGCTGCGCGAGAGCTCTGTCGGTTGGCACACAGATGGGAACTATTAGGGCTAACCGCTTTTGTCAGAGGCTCGGAGGCCAACTAACTATTAGGCCAACTCCAACGCGTGATTCTATCCTGTCCGTCTGTGTCTGTTTGAACCAAAACGGATAGATGACACGATCCAACGTGCGGCTGCATGTTCAAATTTTATTCGTATGGCGTCCGGCCCATCCCATTTTCGGCGCAAACCCGCGCCTGATTTGCGTCCACACGGACAACGAACGAACGGGCTCGTTGTCCGCCTCGAGGACGCGTGGCGGCAGTCCACTTACCTCCATTGTCCAAAATAATTGCGCACGTGCAGCGGCCACCAGCTATCATCCACCCAGCTGCCCGATCGCCGTCCTTCTTAATGTGGAAGCCGTGGACCGACTAGTCCACAATTTCCACTTCCAAGCCCGCCTGGCTCCTCGAGCCCCGACATGAGCTAGCAAACCCTAGCCGCCGCCGTCGCACCCCACTCGCCCACCTCCCCGCCGGCGCCATGGGCTGGCATTGGATCAGCAAGCACGACCACGAGGCCAACTCCTCCTCTGGTCGACGCCGCTCTAGCAGATCCGCCCCGCCCGCACAACCTTCTCCTCCCGCACCACCTGCTCCGCCAATGTTCGAGATCGCGCTGCCAGCGGCCGGGCACCGGGACATGCCGTACATCCAGGTCGACGTCTACCGGCACTACTGGGAGATGTCCACCTGCCGAACAACTGGCATCTCTCCGCCGACTGCATGCCCATCCCACCAGTGCATGTGAGCGGCCGCGCCCTCCGCGATGAGATCAACCGACACCGTGCCCGCCTTCCACCGGATCTGCTCGGCGACCCCAGGTACACCATTGTTTCGCCGTTGTGGGATACGTGGCTCCGCGAGGAGCACGACCTGCGGTAGCAATCTTTTTTTCCGGTTGTCCTCCGAGCCCGCGTCGCCCGCGTCCTCCTCGTGCTGACAACCCTCCCCAAACGCAGGGCCATAGGCGTGTCAACGACATCACGCCGACACCTTCTACATCCCCGTCCCCGCCACCGCCGCCGCTCATGACCGAGGAGGAGAAGGCCCGCCTCATGAGGTGGGTCATGGAGGACTCCATGGCCACCCATGACGAGCGGCAATGAGATGGCCTGGAGACCGTGATGGCCCTCTTTGCGACCGACGATGTGGCCATCAGGTGGGCCTCGACGTCAAGGATGAGGTGCTGGAGGACCCGCCCATCGCCGCGTGGAGCCCTCGTCTAGTGGGCTAGCGGTGGAGCTGGTCGTGCACGACACCGAAGATGGCCGGCTCGGTGGCTGTCGGCCCATGGTCAGACACGCCACCGCTATCACCAGAGTAGAAGCACAAGCCACAGGAGGAGGTGGTGCAGGCGCCGCTGATGACCCACAAGTGTAGGGGATCTATCATAGTCCTTTCGATAAGTAAGAGTGCCAAACCCAACGAAGAGCAGAATGAAATGACAAGCGGTTTTCAATAAGGTTTTCTTTGCAAGCACTGAAATTGTAGGTAACAGATAGTTTTGTAATAAGATAAATTGTAACAAGTAACAAGCAATGCAAGTAAATAAAGTGCAGCAAGGTGGCCCAATCCTTTTTGTAGCAAAGGACAAGCCTGAACAATTTCTTATAATGAGAAAAGAGCTCCCGAGGACACATGGGAATTATTGTCGAGCTAGTTTTCATCACGCTCATATGATTTGCGTTCGATACTTTGATAATTTGATATGTGGGTGGACCGGTGCTTGGGTACTGTCCTTACTTGGACAAGCAACCCACTTATAATTAACTTCTATTGCAAGCATCCGCAACTACAAAAGAAGTATTAAGGTAAACCTAACCACATCATTAGACATATGGATCCGAATCAGCCCCTTACGAAGCAACACATAAACTAGGGTTTAAGCTTCTGTCACTCTAGCAACCCATCATCTACTTATTACTTCCCAATGCCTTCCTCTAGGCCCAAATAATGGTGAAGTGTCATGTAGTCGACGTTCACATAACACCACTAGAGGAAAGACAACATACATCTCATCAAAATATCGAACGAATACCAAATTCACATGACTACTAATAGCAAGACTTCACCTATGTCCTCAGGAACAAACGTAACTACTCACAAAGCATATTCATGTTCATAATCAAAGAGGTAATAATATGCTTTAAGGATCTGAACATATGATCTTCCACCAAGTAAACCAATTAGCATCAACTACAAGGAGTAATCAACACTACTAGCAACCCACAGGTACCAATTTGTGGTTTTGGATACAAGATTGGATACAAGAGATGAACTAGGGTTTGAGAGGAGATGGTGCTGGTGAAGATGTTGATGGAGATTGACCCCCTCCAGATGAGAGGATCGTTGGTGATGACGATGGTGATGATTTCCCCCTCTCGGAGGAAAGTTTCCCCGGCAGAACAGCTTTGTCGGAGCCCTAGATTGGTTCTGCCAAGGTTCCGCTTCGTGGCGGCGGAGTTTCGTCCCGTAAGCTTGCCTCTGATTTTTTTTCAGGGTAAAAGCCTTCATATAGCAGAAGATGGGCACCGGAGGGCCACCAAGGGGCCCAGGAGATAGGAGGGCGCGCCCAGTAGGGGTGGGCGCGCCCCCCACCCTCCTGGCCAGGGTGCGGGTCCCCTCTGATGCTTTCTTCGCTTAATAATTCTTATTAATTCCAAAACAGACTTTCATGGAGTTTCATGATTTTTGGAGCTGTGCAGAATAGGTTTCCAATATTTGCTCCTTTTCCAGCCAGAATTCCAGCTGCCGGTATCCCCCCTCTTCATGGTAAACCTTGTAAAATAAGAGAGAATAGCCATAAGTATTGAACATAATGTGTAGTAACAGCCCATAATGCAATAAATATCGATATAAAAGCATGATGCAAAATGGACGTATCAACTCCCCCAAACTTAGACCTCGCTTGTCCTCAAGCGGAAGCCGATATCTAAAAATATGTCCACATGTTTAGAGATAGAGGTGTCGATAAAAATAAAATATGGACATGAGGGCATCATGATCATTCTTATAACAGCAACAATATATAGATTTTGTTATATGATTTCTTGTGCTCAAGTAACAATCAATTCACAATGTCAAGTATGGTTCAGAAACTTCATTGGGAACTAACAAACTATAATCTCAGTCATTAAAGCAATTGCAATTTATCATAACATCAGAAAGAGTCAAGAATAGAGCTTTTCAGCAAGTCCACATACTCAACTATCATATAGTCTTCTACAATTGCTAACACCCACGCAATACTTGTGGTTATGGAGTTTCAACCGGACACTGAGAAAGATAGGGGTTTATTGTGTTGCCTCCTAACGTATTCACCTTTGGGTGATGTCAACAATAATTCATGCTAACTTACATCCAATTGGATGTATATATCAAGATCTTTCAAACACAAGGAGCTTGCCAAAGGATAAAATTAAAAAGGTAAAGGTGAAGATCACCTTGACTCAAGCATAAAGTAAAAAACATAAAGTAGAAGATAGGCCCTTCGCAGAGGGAAGCAGAGGTTGTCATGTGCTTTTAGGGTTGGATGCACAAAATCTTAATGCAAAATAACGTCACTTTATATTGCCACTTGTATATGGACCTTTATTATGCAGTCTGTCGCTTTTATTACTTCCATAACAAGATCGTATAAAGCTTAATTTATCTGCACTAATAAGTCATACATATTTAGAGAGCATTTTTTATTGCTTGCAACATGACAACTTACTTGAAGGATCTTACTCAATCCATAGGTAGGTATGGTGGACTCTCATGGCAAAAACTAGGTATAAGGATATTTGGAAGCACAAGTAGTATCTCTACTTGGTGCAAGGAATTTGGCTAGCATGAGGGGGAAAGGCAAGCTCAACATGTCGGGAAGATCAATGACAACATATTTTAACTGATATGTGAGAAAACATAAACCATTACGTTGTCTTCCTTGTCTAATATCAACTCTTTTAGCATGTCATACTTAATGAGTGCTCACAACCATAAAAGATGTCCAAGATAGTATATTTGCATGTGAAAACCTCTCTTTCCTTATTACTTCCTATTAATTGCAATGATGACCAAAACTACGTTTGTCAACTCTCAACAACTTTTATGCCTCATATTTTCTATGTGTGAAGTCATTACTATCCATAAGATCAATATGAACTCTTTTATTCTTTTTATTCTTTCTAGTTTCTCAGGATCATAGCAAGATAGCAAAGCCCATGACTCAACACTAATCTTTATTATAGATAGCTCACGGACTCGATTACATAAAGAGATCACAAAGCAACACTCAAAAACTACTTAATGTTAAAACTTCAATCTACTAGATCAAGATATTACTAAAAGGATCGAACTAAATAAAACGGTAAAGATAGGAGTGTGATGGTGATACGATACCGGGGCATCTCCCCCAAGCTTGGCAGTTGCCAAGGGGAGTGCCCATACCCATGTGATTATGTCCTCGGGGTGGTGAGGGTGTTGTTGTTGATAATGTAGGATTCTTCCCCAATCTACGCTTGAGGGTAATATTTTGCTCCTTTAGATCATCGATCTCCTGCTCAACACTTAATATTCTTTTGCATAAATCCTGTTTATTTTCCTGCAAGAGACGAAAAGGAATAAACTCGATCTTTGACTTCTTTGCTCTATCAGGGAGACTTGAATTTTTAAACTCCACATTCATGTCCCCAGGTTGAGCTAATGGAACTTCGTCTGAACTCGTCTCCTCCTTTCCCTTAGGCTCATAGTCTTCCTCTTCTTCAGTAGTCCAGCCACCATGACCCAAGTCCCCATAGACTTTAGGGTCTGCAAGGTAATCAACCACATAGCTCTCCCCTTCCGAATCCTGAGACGACATATTGCT